AGACAATTGAATGTGTATGATAAGGCCAAAATTATTCAAAATGTCTTCGACATTCTAAATTCAGGTGTCATAATAATATAATTGAAATATCCAGTTGTACTTTATGTGCTAATTCCATTACTTGAGAATATTTCATCTCATAATTCACAATACTTGAAAATAGGCAAAACATATTCAGGCTTATCACCTACTTCCGTAAACATGAGCATCATCCATATAAAATTCCATCAATTTTAAAAATTTGTATACTAATTTCTTAAATATTAGATAATTTATTTATTATATTGTCTGATTGTTGTAAACAGAAATTCATCAAAAGTGACACCTCAGAAAAGCTAAAATATTGAATTTTTGGAACTTTTGATAGAGCACGTTTTTAAATATTAATTAAAGTAAATGTATATTTTGTAAAGATTCTTTTTAATAAAAAATAAAATTTTGAAGAAGAACACAAAATCTTCTGAAAAATAATATCACATAAACTTTTTTAATATATATATTTATATAAAAATCAAATTCAATGATCTAAAAGCGAAGGATAAACCTCAAATTTACGAATATAATGCTTATCTATCATAAAACCATATGAAATATCAATTTTTGCTTTACGCCTAATTTTTGACGACAATTAGCAAAAATGTTAAATGTTAACACTCAGTCCATTTGAATATGAAAAATAAAATTGACTTTGATTAAATGTTTTTATTTCATGCAATTCTTCTTGCGACCAAATTTGAATAAAATTTCAAAAATAAGATAGCTTAAAAATAATATACGGTAGTGTTTACTAATAGATGAATAGTATATAAATTCTATTAAAATGGATTTGATCCAAAAAATATAAAACCAAAAATAATTGTTATAATTTAAATGAAGAAGTAATTTAAAACGATTTTATTTATGATCAAATTTTATATATTTTTTTGGATCAAATCCATTTTTAATAGAATTTATATACTATTCATCTATTAGTAACACTACCGTATATTATTTTTTAAGCTATCTTATTTTTGAAATTTTATTCAAATCTTTGGTCGCAAGAAGAATTGCATGATAAATAAAAACATTTAATCAAAGTCAATTTTATTTTTCATATTCAAATGGACTGAGTGTTAACATTTAACATTTTTTGCTAATTGTCGTCAAAAATTAGGCGTAAGCAAAAATTGATATTTCATATGGTTTTATGATAGATAAGCATTATATTCGTAAATTTTGAGGTTTATCCTTCGCTTTTAAGATCATTGAATTTGATTTTTATATAAAAAGTTATATATTAGAAAATAATATGAGTTTATGTGATATTATTTTTCAGAAGATTTCATTCTATATTCCTATGAAAAGTACTCTCAAAACTAACTTTTTCCTAATTATAATTAAATCTAGAATATTGTATTATGCTTAGTATTATTTCATTTTTCTCATTCAATTTAGAATTTACAAATGTCAAAAAATTGAGAGCTGTCACTTTTGATGAATTTCTGTTTATTACATGATAACATTTGTCTACTGGAAATAACGTAAATTTTGCGATTAACTAGGCTAAATTTTAATAAAGAGTGATATTCTTGGAAGTAAACTGTATTGATTCAACACAACTAAATATAGTTTGGATTCATCTTGTTCCCTCACTCGGAGAACAAATAAATTGGAATAAGAAGATTGATTTCAAATTACAAGAACTTTGCGACGATTATTTGGCAGAACCTTAAAGGACATCGCACAACTTTTTTATTAAATTTTGATTAAACATATTATATAGAATATAATGAAATCTCCACTTTTTGTCAAATAATCGTTGTGAATTGAGTGGGTTCCGATAATGAAAATTTAGTGATCATTTATAATTATGAAACCATGACATTTAACACTACCTAAAAAGAAATGACTCAAAAAACTAGACTATTATGCTTCCAAAAAATTAATTGATGCATTTTCGTAATATTTAATGTATTTAATAGCATATAAAGCTTTCATTCATGACAATAAAAATCACATACCACAATTTGATACATAAAAAACACCGAAATTACTCAAATGTTGTTATATTCAAATTATATTTTATTTAATAATAGTGATAAATCACTGAAATTCATAAGTTAAGCTTTTTATATGTATGAAATATTATATGCATATACGCCTTATTCAAATTCATCTTTGTGAGAGTCGACTAGCTTCTTTTCAAAAAAGTACTTTTAATGGGCCAAAAATTGAAAAAAATTTAATTTCTCTAGTTTCTAGCCAGAATCAATATAGAGCTGATATGCAAAAAGTGAAACTACTATGGTGTGGAAAAAATATCAAAGTTCCCCACTTAAACACTATATATATAACAAGAATTTTGTGCCAGGCGTATAAATTACAGTATAAAATAAACAATTGAATAGTATTTATCTTACTTTAAATAGTTATTTTTCTAACTTAAAATCATATAAATTTAATTTTTATAACTTTGTGAGGTATATCGAGAGAAAGAGAGACTTAGATGCAAGAATGCAGATTTTGTCCCTCAAAGTATCTAATTTTGTAAAAATGTTTTCCAATATTTTTCTGTTACTTACAATTTCCACTTTAATGATGCAACTTTATTCTTCCTACCAATGTAATACGTTACACCCTATGCAAATTCTCCAGATGCCGACATTTCTTCTCAACTTTATACCACTTCACATTAAAAATGCAAAGTTCTCACAATTTTTTTGGATTTGAAGACTAAAAACCGCCAAAACCTAATTCATAAATTTAATTAATAATTGCCTATTATCAAAATTTAATAAAATTTTTATAATGTGAAAATCCATTTTATTTAATTTCAAAAATTTTATTTAGATACATATCTAAATATGATTTAAGTCATTTTTAATCAATAAAAAACTCTTTTTGTAATTTTTTAATTGGAAGCATGATAATAAAAGTGAACCGCTTAATAACTTTCGAATATATCTGATGAAATACTTTTTTTGGTGTTTTAATGGTCTTCCACGTTTCTTCGGCTCTTCGGCTTTAGATTTGATTGGGAATGCTGGCAATGATTCACTTTCTTTCTGCTGATTAACAGTTTCTTTTCCTGCTGCTTCTTTATTTCCACCATTTTCAAGCTTATCGAAAGCTTTGCCAACTGCACGTACACAATGACGAGGATCAAGTGTAATTGTAGCATTCGGAGAATATTGCTGGATGATGGCTTTCGTTTTATTGCCATTGTTATGAACCACTGTGGAAACATTTGTAAAGTCAAAATTTGACATTATCCTCTTGGTACATTCTGTTTCCGTCATGTTGGATGGACCTTCAAAGTCTCCTCCAGAGCTCTTTTTTATAACAGTTGTTTCACCAACAACTTTTTCACGATTGTCCATCATTAAACTTTGGCAAGCTGTGGCATTTCTGCCAATATTATAATGCGAATCAGTGCTTAGAAATGTATCTTTTTGAGTACACCCCAAATTTGGAAGTACCAAAATGGGTAAATCGGCGAAAAATGAATAAAATTAGATTTTTATATTACCAATAATCAGAGCATATATTATATATGCATCTTTTAATATTTGTTTAGACATTTACGTTATATTGAGATACTTATTATTTGATATCAGCACCATTTTTGAAATTATACTATACATCGATCATACTTGTCCTTGACCTGAGGTTTCAATATATAATAAGTCTTGAATGAAGAGTGTGGTAGAGAATCACAATGCAATTTCAGGTCAATTAAATTTAATTAAGAAATAATTTCTGTATACAGATTTTCTGTCATTGGTGGTGGTTATGACACTGTGATCAATGAGAAATTACGTGTTTTGGGGTTTTGATTCAAGATATAAGATGCAAAACTCCATGTCTGAGTACATATATGCAGGGTCTTAACATGGTGCCCTACATGGATGTACTCTAACTTGGAAAAGCTTGCACTTTTACCTTTCGATGCGAATGTGTCAGAAACAATTCCCATTCTGCATATATATATACAGGGTCTATCACCGGCACCCTGCACCTATATGTGCAGAATGGGAAAAGCTCGCACTTTTTCATTTATTGTGAATCATAGAATTTAAATTCAATAAAGGAGTATTCAAATGCATGGTATTGTTCCTTTACCCTGCATTTGAATACTCCTTTCTTACAAATATACGCAATAATAAATTATAAATATCACATTCTATTTAAAACTCGAGTGATATAGAATTTCCGAAAAAGTGACATTCCAAAAAGTGACACTTTGATGAGTGAGATACACCTTGACTAAAAGCTTCATTTTATTTTAATTATTACTATTATATTATATGATTCTTATATTATATGATTCTTATATTATATGTTTATTATATTATATGATTCTTATATTATATGTTTATTATATTATATGATTATTATATTATATGATTATTATATTATATGATTCTTATATTATATGTTTATTATATTATATGATTATTATATTATATGATTATTATATTATATGATTATTATATTATATGATTATTATATTATATGATTATTATAAATGTAATGAATAAGATAATAATTTTTATTTTATAAGTCCTAGTTTTTCATCAATTAATTTAATACATTCATCAAAGTTTTCATTAATGTAATCGATTTAGTTTTCAAAGAATGAATTGAGTTCATTGTTTATCTCTTCCATTATCGGTTCTTCTAAATTAAAACTTTTGAAGTGCTCAATCGCACTTTTCATTTTTGAATCAATATTTTCAATATAATCAGGCATCTGTCTGATTGCCTTAAGTACAGGCAGTAAATAAAAATGATTAGTTTCGATAAACTTGGAGAGTTGATTTAATAAATTTAGCATTTCCCTCTTTTGTATGTCTTCTGCCGTTGGTGTTTTTATTTCTCTATGAATAGAAGTATCATTTGATTGTGAATAAGGAAATCTCCTTGAATTCTAATAAAATAATTGTCTTTGACTGTCGTCATTAACTTATAACCAAAGTTGATTATTGATAAGTTTCTAACACCCCCATATTCGTGATACTTTAAATGTTTGAAAAGGCTTCAGATACATTGTTAACAAATGTGAAATCACCTTCTTTAAATGATGAAATCCATTGCTCGCAATGATTCAACCATTGCTTAGTAAAATATTTGTTAAAGTCTTCATTATCCATAATTAATGCTTGAACTTCAGAGATTAACCGTTCTGCATTTTCAGAAGGTAAATCTCTAGTATAACACAGAATGTTCATCAGTTTGTCAACCTCCTTTCTTGTTTCTTCATTTGATAATCTATAAAGATTTTTACGAAGTGCCCTCATTACATAGAGGGCACACCAAAAAATTTGTGCATTTGGAAATGTGATTTTAATTCCATTAAATATCTGAAGGGCACAATCACTCATAAAAAACTTAGGAGTGATTTGAAAAGTAGTGAAAAACTTTTGTAAACAAAGACTGATGTTTTCCTGTGTATCTGGCTTGATTGCAAAGTACAAGAGTGGAATAACATGTGTAAAATCAAGTTTTGTTGAAAGAACATAGAAAACAAGTTTATCGAAGATAATCTTATACGTGGAATCTATATGGAAGAGCAGATCGGAATCTTGAATGAACTGAATCATCCTTGAATCAGCAAATATGAAACATACCTCAGAAGGATGTTCAAACTCGTTGACTGTAAAAGATGCTATGTCATCTGGATTAAGTTGTGCATATTCTTTAACAAATTTATCAAAAGATGAATATGGATTTTTTCCATTATTTGGAAGTTGAAGAAGTTTTTTCCTGTATGCCGATATATAATTGTTCAAAGTATCCTGCTTGATAGCGAAGAAGGGATAATTATGATTTTGTGGAATCCCTAACTTCGAGTAACACTCATTGATAATTTGAGAATTATCTCCATCATTTTCGATGAAGTGTTTCATATAAGGCCTGAGGAAGATACTGATTTTATGATACTTCCCCACATCCTCCGGTTGTGAATGATCATGATGATGCACTGCAGAAACAAAATAGTAAGAATCAAATGACTTGAGGAATATAAAGCAAGCCTGACATCCATTATAAGCACATTTGTGATAAAGTTTTTTAAATTGTTCAGATTGTTTTTGTGGATCTTTGTAATATCTGTATCCTCCAAACATTTCACACTGTACGGCATATCGTAAATAAGTAATCCATGAATGACCAACATTAGGTAGAGGATCAACAGGTTTATTCATTTAAAAAGTAAATGAAAAAATGAAAAGTGCCAGAATAAACTTGATTGTTATTGTTACAAATAAGATATTATATAGATTTAGCCCATATACTATTACCCTATATAGCTTTTGTGTGAATATCTCTATCATAAGACAAATTACGGAAAGTGAACTCAAACAAAAAGTGACACAATGCATTTGCCAACCAAATAACTTTACAAAGCAAAAACTTAAATTACTTGTCAAGCTTACTATTCTTATTTTAACAATTAAAAAATTAAATTTTATTTTTTATTTAAAAAAATCATCTTATATCATCTGATATATATATAACAGCATTAATATTTCAATGATTCACAAATCAACTTTTTCATTATTTTAAATAATTATAGAATATATACCGACTTTTTGTACATAAATATTTTTAGATTCAATAATGATTACGGTTTTTTTCAAAACTTATAATTTTCAAATGAGTGGTAGAATCTTCGATTTAATTGATTTAGAATGGTTAAATCAAGCTAATCAACAAATTCAAAGCGGTATTAACGTCGAAACCGTTCTCCAAAATGTCCCTTTAACAGATGGAAGAATTCTTCCCACAATATCACATAAAACTTTTAAAAACGCTCTTAATTTCAATCAAATTGAAATTCCAAAATTACGTACAGGTCCAAAACCAAAAGATCCACCACAATGTTAAACTATTCAGACAAAGTTTCCCACTGTTTGCGAAGGAATTGTTGGCTATGATGTACTGATTCATGATCAGTACATCATAGCCAACAATTCCTTATACAAAGTTCAAAAACTTGGGTGCAATCAGAACTGATTGCACCCAAGTTTTTGAACTTTCTCGAGGGAATGAAAGGGTAAGAGGTATACATTATGAATATATACCTCTTACCCTTCCATTCCCTCTCTGACAGCGCGAAACTTTGTCTGAATGTTAAACTATTCAGACAAAGTTTCCCGCTGTTTGCGAAGGAATTGTTGGCTATGATGTACTGATTCATGATCAGTACATCATAGCCAACAATTCCTTATACAAAGTTCAAAAACTTGGGTGCAATCAGTTCTGATTGCACCCAAGTTTTTGAACTTTCTCGAGGGAATGAAAGGTAAGAGATATCCATTTCCTTTCACCTTCGTTCTCAATAATTAACTTATAAATTTTTTTAAAGCAAAAAAAGTCTGATTTTTTTTGACAAGTAAATATATAGGGAAGAATAATAAGGAGAAAAGAAAAGAGATACTAATACTAAGTAAACAATAATTGATAATAGATATAAGTATAACAGTATTGGCTTTATGTAAATTTGTAATAAAAAAATCAAAATGAAAAAATAAAAGTGTGAAGGGGGTCCTTTCTCAAGGTCAGGGTCCCCTTCCAGTCTTTCTGGTGCCGGAAGGAGTGGCTTTTGCCAGTATTGCCGCTCCTTCCGGCATCATCTTTGCATTTGCGAAAATCAGCTCTGAGGACTGTAAGCGAAGCCCTGGACTTTGCTAGGGCCAGAGCTTGTAGTTTGAGGTCTTTCATTTTCGACGAGAACCTCCATCATGAAGAAGTTCGTCGTAAAATTCGTCCCTGAGGATGGAAGTTGCAGGATTTGGCCACTGCTAAGGCCAGAGCCTCTGATTTTATGTCTTTCAGAGTTGTGTTCTTTTCAGTTCATCTTCAATAACGACAAACTGAAAAGAACTCAGCTCTGAGGATTTTTAACTCACGTATGTACCTTGCTCTATGTGCAGCAGAAGCAATCGTTGAGCGTGATTTCTCCGAGTTAAGGTTAATAATAAATGATAGAAGAAATCGTACAGGAACTGAATTTGCTTCGGCACGTAACACTTTCATGAACACATTGTTTGACGATGCTTATCGTTGCATTAAGTTAATTAAGCGGTTCTAATTTGAATTTATCATTTTTAATTTTAATTTTATAAATCAATTTTTCAATTACTAATCGCCTGCTTTTGTTGTACAGAAACACTTATTCCATTCAAGTCCTTTGCTTTTAGTTTAATGTAGCAAAAATTGTAAAATAAATTTGATTGAAAATGCCTAAGAATCAATGATGACAATAGTATTGATATATAAATCAATTAGAGTGAATTTCTTTTCATCAAGAACTGAGAAACCCTATATTCTGAAATTTATTGAATAAATTTGTTGAAAATAGATGCAATTTGGCCTTTTCCTACGTATATTTGTCTTTATCCTAGTTGTTGCCCCAGTCTGTCTTCATTTCGTCAAACCTGTTATATATACAGGGTGTACAAAAAGTAATGAGACACCTCCTCATTTTTGATACCGTCTGTTGAATGGTTAGAGACCAAATCAAATGGATGGGTACCAATAAATGATTATCCTCCCAAACAAGAAGAGACTTGATCCAGCCCTTGAATAACTCGATGCTTACTATGTTTCGAGTCATTCGGGCTGGATCAACAAGTATCTCTTCGGTATTTACTGTATTTTTTCCTTTGTGAAGTACACATGAGAAGAGCACCACTACCTGCTGCAGAGGCTGCTGAGAGGTATTTGCTCATTGTTGATGGACACTCCTCACGATTATCTTATGGAGCATTGCGTCTCTGAAGTATAATGAAATATTATACTTAAGATCAATTCTGCTCTACTTTCCAGAAGGCTTGTTTGGCAGACTTAGGGATTATTTGCTTATGTTGGTTAGCTCGGCAAACACCGAGCAAATTAAAATTAACGTACATTTAACGTATATCAAAAAAAAAACTATTGACACATATGTGTCAACAAAACGCCATATCTTGCAACCATTAGACGTATGTCTCTTTTCGTCATTGAAAACGAAGTGGAAAAATTTCTTCAATGAAAGAACTGTCCAATACGATCCAGCAAGACTTAATATATAATGAAACCTCAGGTCAAGGACAAGTGTGATCGATATATAGTATAATTTCAAAAATGTTGCTGATATCAAATAATAAGTATCTCAATATAACGAAAATGTCTAAACAAATATTAAAAGATGCATATATAATATATGCTCTGATTATTGGTAATATAAAAATCTAATTTTATTCATTTTTCGCCGATTTACCCATTTTGGTACTTCCAAATTTGGGTAGGTCACTTTTTTTACTTCCAAATTTTGGGTGTACTCAATGCATTTCAGTACATGAGAGCTGCATTGAACTTCCAAGGTGAATGTGGAAACGTTTTGGTTAAGGATATTGTAATATTGATACAGAACAATGATATCTTGCATAGAATCAAACTCCACTCATCACTTTTGTGGTTAATGCAATAATCTTTTGTAATGATAACGAATTTGAACATTTTTCGGACTGCAGCCCAATTTATATACAGATACTAATGATATCACTCCATATCAACAAGGCTCCAAAGCCCAGACACACGTTGGAAGCTGGCTTCCCGCCATTTGAAAAAAGTGACATAACGGATGGTCCAGAAAAAAGCAATTTTTTGTAAAATTTAGTATTGTCTACTTCTAAATGTTGTAATCATTGTAATTTTTCAACTTTTACGCATGGAGAATAAAAAATTGTAGGTTAAAATAATTTCAAAAAAATAATATCCAAAAAAATCTCATATTATACGCCAAATAGACCGTAAAGCTTAAAAACTCAAGTACACTAATATAGTACTTGAATTATCCTATATATATCTATAACTGAATCGCAAACAAAATGCCTACTCGTATTATAAAATTGATTTTGCATTCCCTTAAAGAGTATATAAATATTTAATTTTGTTTATTACTAAACTTTTTGTATAATTTCCTGAAAAATCTTCCTTACCTTGTTTTTTTTCCTTCCAATTTTGAAAATATCTTCCAAGTCGGCATCACAATATTGTCTGAATAATTGGTAAGAAAATTTCTAGAATCTTAATTAAATGAAAACGAGGACATTCGATCAAAGTAATGGATTTCCTTAAAAATAATAAATTTGATTAGTGAATATGATTTAGGAGATAAATATATTAATAAAAAAAGAATATGAATTTGTTATGTTAATAATCGTGATTGCGGAGATCTGTGTTTATCATGTTATGTCACAGACAGGGCCCCCTTCTAGTCTTTCTGGTCCTGGAAGGAGCGCTTCTGACCGTTCTTGGCGCTCCTTCCAGGAAGATCAGGAGATTGCGACAAAGTCACGGCAAGTGCAATATGGCAGGTCCACTATTGATTCCACATCCATATTTCAACACATATTTATTAAAAAATTATTTATATTTCAGTAACAAATGTTTATATATTTAAATTTCTCACTGGTAAAAAATCGATAGGTTAACTAAATTTGTATGACATATCGTTTTTTACCAGTTTTTTACCAGGAACATTTGGTATATCATAGGTCAATATCAAAATTTGATTTTTTCGCATCTAATCAATTTTAATTCTCGTGTTATATATAATATCATTAGCTTATACTATATAATATAAAATTTGAAAAATTTAAACTAGTCAAAATTTCATATTTTTTATTCTTCAATTAATTTTTAGAATAACAATAATAAATAAAATATGATATATTGAACAATTATATATTAGCATTAAAATGGATTTATAATAATATTTAAGAAATGGTAATTTTGTACTTTCGTCTTTTACTGATACACCACACAAATTTTTAGAAGTGTTCGGTTTTTTACCAGTTTTTTATTAGAAAAAAAGGAATCGTCCAGTACAAAGAGCTTCATATGAATATTTATCTATCATTCATTTAATATACAAATAATATTTGTTCTAGCGTTGAAATAAACAGATTTTTTGAAAAAAATGTTGATATTTCTTTATCAAAAGAAAAACGAATAATGAATTTATGCTTTATTATGACTAACAATTGATATAATATTAAAAACTCAGGATGATGATATCATCAAATGTTAAATTTATAAAAAATTAAAAAGTCTTATACATTAAATTTCAGACTCAATTTTAAACTTTTGGTCATTCCTACTTTTCTTTATGCTAACAAAAGTTCATATAAACTTAATGTCCTCGGTCACTAGCATC